AATGTATTAAACAGATTTAAGCTGTGAACTGTCTCAAAAGCATTTTTGCATAATTTATGAAGTGCAAATTTTGTCTCTTGGCTCCTAAACAAATCAACACATATTCTTAATTAGTGGCCTAATTGGGAGCTTTTACTGGGTAATAAGTTATTTCAGTGCAAATGACCTAATGAGTCTCGTTCTTTTGAGCAGAGTGGTAACTTGGGAGATTTGCTGATTTAATAAATAAATAAAAGGATGAATACCTGAACTATTTTTATTAAGCATTCATCTGTAAAGCACAGTGCTGAAGCAGGTTCTCCCTCACACAGATCCAGTCTCTTGACTTACCACAACACAGTGATGGTAGCATTCTTCTCAGCATCTCCTGCTCACCATTTCTTCCTTCCTCTGTCCGTATTCTACTTGCTTCCAAATCAATATTATTAATGAAGACTTCTGGTTATGTTATTACTCTGCTCAGAAACCTTCATGGCTCCTCTTTTCTATTAAATAAAATCCAGTCTCAAAAGACAAACATGTGGGGCCTCTACAGTCTGGTTCAAACTTGCTTTTCCTATTTTTAAATATTTTTTTTACCCTGCTCTCCAATCAGATTGTTATTCTTGCCCCCTTCCCTGATGTAGTTTCCACTTTCTTTCCTCATAACATCCCTGACTTTGGAAGATCCATTTAGAGTTCATATCTAGAAGATATGTGCTCTGGGTAGGGTAAACTGTTAAGCAGTTAACTACTAATGGTAAGGTTGGTGGTTCCAATCCAGCCAGAGGCCTCACTGAAGCAAGCCCTGGTGATGTGCTTTAGAAGGCTCACGGCCATTGAAATCGTATGGAGCAGAGTTCCAGTCTGCGACACATGGGCCACCATGAGTTGGAATCAACTCAGTGGCAACTTCTTGTTCCCTGTTACCAAGGCTCTAAATTTCTGTTCAAGGAAGTTTTCTTTCTTACAGCCACAATGCTCTATGGGTTTACAGTGAGTTTATATTCAAGTAGTAACTCCAGGTCTTATTCTTACGACCTTCCATCAACACAAGTTTCCCACATTCTTAGTATGCTTTGTGAACTACGTGCAGTCATGTCCATTTGGCCCTTTCAAAATCACTGTCTTTCTTTTTGAAGATTAAACATCTCTTGATTATACCATCTCCGCTCCATTTCTACTGCGACTACCTTAGACCTTGCCACCTGAACCTTTTATGATAGAAGCAGAGAGAAGGGAAGAAAGCAAGCTAGGTGGGCGGGGGGGAACATCATCCCCCTGCAGAATTAGATGGAGCCTCCCTCATTCTTCCAAACCCTGTCCTGTAGCTTTCAGGGCAAAAAAAAAAAAAAAAAAAATCTAAAATCTGGTGAACACATCCCTCCCCAGATGAAATCTCAGTGGTTCCACGTTGCTTTCATCATGGCCTCAGACCTTTTGTGATAGTCTCCCACCTCCAGCGTTATTTCTCACTACTTTGTTAGCCTTCCGACAGCCAACTCTTCCACCTCTTTCCTTTACACAAGTCTCCCTAGGTTTACAGCACTGTCCCCCAGCTTTTGTTCCAAGCGAACTGTGACTCCTCTCTCCAGACTCAGCTCTCACCCCTCGTCCTCTGAACTACCTTCCTTGGCACCCCGGCAGGAGACTGGGCAGGTACCCCTGCTCTCCTTTCCAAGGGCACCTGGATTGACCTCTATAATGACTCCCATTACACTGGCTTAGAATCATTTGTTCACTGCTCTTTCTCCCCTTAACTAGATTTTGAGCTCTTTGAGAACAATGAGCGTATCTTTCATCTGTCACCCTAGTGCCAAGAGCAGTGTCTGGTCATTTATCAGTTTATCTTACCAATAAAATTTTTCCAAAATTTCCTTTTTCTTTCTCATCCAAGAAAAGTTCAGAGCAAGAGAAAAAGGAACATGGTAGAATTCAGTTTAAGCAATAGCAGGATGTCAATCATTTCTTTTTCTCTAATATTGTGAGGATTTAGCCTTTGGTACTTGCGGTCATTACAAAGAATAAATCATGAAGGACACTGTGAGTCAAAACTATCAATGAGATTCTTTCAATAAGCCTTCAGTGGACAAATAATCCATCAGGATTCTCTGGGACCCAATTTTTTTTTGAGTATTCCACTTGCATAGTGAAATAAGCACTGGGGTTTCTGGTGTGGGGAAATTGAAGACATTGAAATCATGACTGATTTGCCTTTCAGTGACAAATGACTGCCTCAGAGACCAGTGAGCATTGTCTTTCAGTCATGGCCAACTTGAATGTCATTTACTACCTATAAGAAGGAATGTGGTAGCTGTGTGGCGGAAGCAGTTAAGCTTGTATGGAGTCCTTCAACTCTGCATTCTCAGGGTTGCCAGCCACTCCCAATAACAACATCATGAGGAATAGGTTCTATTGGAATGATGGAGTTGTATGATCTCTGAAAGATTTCTAAAGACTTCTAGTGCCTTCTTTGCTGAGATAGTTTAAGTATATATTTAGTCAGAGATAATCTCTCAAGAGTCCATCTAGTTAAAGAATCTATAGTCATTAAGCCCCAAAGATTCTTAAAGTCATGAAGAGCTCCTCTTTTTACAACTTTCCCAATCACTAAATTGACCAAATGAAATCAAGCTATTTACTAGGGACCACTTCATTCCCTAGGCTGGGTCAGCAAGCGTGGTGTGTATGTGTTTTAACAGATCTAAAAGAGGTTGCTCATCAGAAACACAGTGGCAGTCACCCTTCCCTTACAGTAGTACGTAGGTAATTATCAATTGATTGATCTGTATGTCTTAATGCTTTGGTTCCTTGCTTTTCTAAAGAAGCAGAAAATTGTTTTCAAATCTAAGATAACTGAGACTTCATTACTTGTTGCAAAACAGAATTCATTTTAAGTGGTAAGAGTCCCACGAGGGAGTGCTAGCATGAATAATTATCATTGCTGCGATCTACCAAAATGAACAGTTTCCCTGAATTGAGTGATAGTAGCATCTTCAAATGTGATTTACATTTCTGTCTCTAATGAAAATTAGCACATTTTTCACACTTTCTCATTTTTCTATGTCCCTTCTGTGGCAGCATAACTTCTATTTTTATTTGCATTTGTAAATTACAGAGTGTTTGCAACAGGCAACGGATGAATGTGTTTTGCTGAGAGCTTAGCGTTGTACCGTCTGATTCCTCACAAGTGTCTTCTTTGTTACATTCTGCATTTCCATTTAGTCCCTTCCCATTTGAAATGTGCCTGGAGCACCCTTTATGGATTCATCATAATGCAGTACTTTGTGTCTCCAACTAGAAAGATTCTATAAAATACTTGGCATTGTGACCTAGGGACACTTGCGTGACACTAATGGCAGCAGAGCCGGAACATCTGTTTCATGTTCTAGGGTATTGCATGTGCTTTACACGCACTGTCTCCTACCCTTGGAATGGAGGAAGTGTTATTTCCCCTCGTCACTGATGAAGGAATTGAAGCTTATTGTTAGCTGCTGTCAGGTTGCCTCTGACTCGTGGTGACTTATGTGTAACAGAATGAAACACTGGCTGGTCCTGCGTCTTCATGACTGTTGGTGTGTTTGAGTCCATATGGTTAAAAACAGAACTGAAGCTGAGAGTTAGGTCAATTCCCCAAGGTCAATGCTGGAAGGTGACTAGGCCAATATTGAAATGGAAGTGTGCCCAATGCCAGAGCCTGGACCTTTGTTTGACACAAGCCATAATTAAGGCTACACAGGTGCCGAAGCTTACGGGTTGCCTCTTATTGTCTTATCTTTCCAAACTCAAAACAGATGGCGGCATGACCATGTGTTTTCCCTTTTAGTCCAGATCAGGCATGTTACTGGTGACCTGGTTTACAGGGTTCATACCAAAGTCATTGCCATGGAGTCTACTCTGACTCATAGTAACCCTATACGACAGTGTAGAACTGCCCCATAGAGTTTTCCAGGCTGTAATCTCTACAGGTGGCGTAGTGTCTAAGGCACTTAACTGCTAACCAGAAGGCTCGCAGTTCAAACCCACCAGCCACTTCTCGAAAGGAAGGCTGGGCAATCTACTTCTGCACAGATACCTCCTTGGAAACCCAAGGAGGGGTCGCTATGAGTCGGACCTGACTCAACGACAGCAGTGAGTTTGGTTTGGAATCTTTAGGGAAGCAGACTGCCACATCTTTGTGGTGGCAGAGCCACAAAGCAGAGCAGCTGGTGGGTTCAAACAACTGACCATTTGGTTAGCAGCCAAGCCCTTAAACCGCTGCACCCCTAGGGCTCCTTCACAGGGTTAAGGATAAATAAGTATATCATTCGCTTGGTAATTTTCCTTTCTTTGACTTCTGGCAGATGCTCTCTCTAAAGCCAAAGCCAATTGTTTTCCTCTAATGACTTAGAGGAAGGGTAGCCTGAGATTATCCTGAGAACTGCAAGTCTATTTATCATTGTTTTTGCTCCATAGATGAGCTCCAACATGTAGATGTGACTGGCCTCCTAGGGATAGATATGGTGATTGTTTCCACTCTGCAAGGAGAAACATTGGTAACAAGATTTTGGCTATTTTCTGCTGCTAGGAATGCAATTTTTAGGCAATTATAAAAGTTTACCCATATTTATTAAAACTCATTCCCCACAACAAAAGTATTTATTGAGCAGATCTAGTTGTAATCAACTGTAGTGAAGAGTGGAAATAACCACGTTAAAGATGCTAAGAATCGCCGTAACTGAAAATTGTGAGAACATATAATTGACAGTTAACAACAGAAACAATTAACACAGCTCTTTACTAGAAATGAACAGATTAGGAGTGAGACCAAGCATCAAGTGCCAGCTCAGATACTAGAACATGAGAGTGAGATCTCCCAGTCGCTCAGGGGAGTGGGAGTCTCCTAGAAGGAGCCCACTTTATTAATTCCTAAAGAAACGATAGGCAATGCTACTGTTTCTCATTGAAGCAAGAGTAGCATCCCTTCCTGTCTTTTGCCTGATTTCTCTTCCTGACTTTTTGCCTTTGCTCCTCTTTGCCAGGTTTCTAGCCAACACCACTTTCAGAGGCCTCAGTGGTTCCATCAAAGTGAAAGGTTCCACCATCGTCAGCTCAGATAACAACTTTTTCATCTGGAATCTGCAACATGACCCCATGGGAAAGCCAATGTGGACTCGCTTGGGCAGCTGGCACGGGGGGAAGATTGTCATGGACTATGGGATATGGCCAGAGCAGGCGCAGAGGCACAAAACCCACTTCCAACACCCAAGTAAGCTACACTTGAGAGTAGTTACCCTGATTGAGCACCCATTTGTCTTCACACGCGAGGTCGATGATGAAGGCTTGTGCCCTGCTGGCCAACTCTGTCTAGACCCCATGACTAATGACTCCTCTATACTGAACAGTCTTTTTAACAGCCTCCATAGCAGTAACGATACAGTGCCCATCGAGTTCAAGAAATGCTGCTATGGGTATTGCATCGATCTTCTAGAAAAGCTAGCAGAAGACATGAACTTTGACTTTGACCTCTATATTGTTGGGGATGGAAAGTATGGAGCCTGGAAAAATGGGCACTGGACTGGGCTGGTGGGTGACCTTCTCAGTGGGACAGCCCACATGGCAGTCACTTCCTTCAGCATCAATACTGCACGAAGCCAGGTGATAGATTTCACCAGCCCTTTCTTCTCCACCAGCTTGGGCATCTTAGTGAGGACCCGAGACACAGCAGCTCCCATTGGAGCCTTCATGTGGCCACTCCACTGGACCATGTGGCTGGGGATTTTTGTGGCTCTGCACATCACTGCCATCTTCCTCACTCTGTATGAATGGAAGAGTCCTTTTGGTATGACTCCTAAGGGACGGAATAGAAGTAAAGTTTTCTCCTTCTCTTCAGCCTTGAATGTCTGTTATGCTCTCTTGTTTGGTAGAACAGCAGCCATCAAACCCCCAAAGTGCTGGACTGGAAGGTTTCTAATGAACCTCTGGGCCATTTTCTGTATGTTTTGCCTTTCCACATATACAGCAAACTTGGCTGCCGTCATGGTAGGTGAGAAGATCTATGAAGAGCTTTCTGGAATACATGACCCGAAGGTAATACTTCTTTTTACTCTAGCTTTCTCTGTTGTCTGTTAAAACTCCACATGAGTGCCTTATTCTATATTACATTTATGTTCTTCTGTATAACACAAGAATATTCTCTCAGCCAACTATAATATTAGCCACAAAGTCTCTTGTCTGCTTGAACTAAATGTTTGTTTTATTAAGTGGGACAAAAAGAGTGAGAGTTGTCGGAGGTGTTTGTTTTAGAGAAAGCCACTCTGGGGGAGCCATCCATTAGTGCAGCTTTTCATCATGTTATTTGGCCATCTGAGAACTGTTGTCAGGAAACAGTCAATTCTGACGTCTCTAGCATAATGCATTTTCACCCAAAGCAAACTTCTTAAGATAATTAATTACTTCTCTTGGGAATTAATGGAAATAAATAGTAGGCTCTACATTTTAAATAGCAAAAGATCCTTTTCACCATCAGAAAATAGTAAAGTGTGAAGGGCTAACATTTTATCATGAGTACCCAAAGTCAGCTGCTAGGGAACTCACGTGTACAACGAGAAGTACCGCACTAACTAATGTGGCATGTTTGGTTAGCTGAAGGACCTGGTGTTGATGTTGTAAATGTTCTTACGAAGTCAGGACAACTGTACAGCTGGCCACCTCGGGTGGAAAGGAAGGTGCCAGCTGTCCCATTACAGTGTCCAAGGAGGCTTAAGAGAATTGGATCTATCTGGCTGCCTTTGATATCCTAGACATAACCAATAACTCACTCCAAAATGAGGCCATAAACACAGGTATAGAGACTAATATTTATAATGCATCATGAAATAGAAGACTATGGCTAGAAGGCTATAGTAAGCACTTCACTGCACTGCATGCCTTTTCAAATGCCCCTACTAAACCGGGTCTCAATGTATTGAACCATTTGTTAGAAACTTCGGTTAAGTACTGAAAAAAATGCATCGATAAATAGGACATTTGCAACAGTCTTTAGCAAGTGATGGAGTGACTCAGAGGGCTGGTGGCAGTTGTAGAGGGTTCTCATAGACGGTTTGGATTAGGACATGAGGTCTGGCTTGCAACCAAAGAACAGGAGAAATTTGGCCCATATACTGCAAGCCTCTGGTTAGTGACATTAAGCTCATGAAAGGATGTAAGCTGACAATGGCTCACTGACTGGGCAAGGATTCGTGTGCTTCTTGGTGAATACTCGGGGCTTTAGGCTGGGGTCTGAATTCAGTGAACACAAATGAGTTCTTTAGCATAAACAAATGTGTCACCCCAAAGAGAGACGTGGATGGCTCCTGCATCCAGATCTGCAGCACCGTTAGCAACCCCGGTCATTCCTTGGGAGCTCTGGTGGCGTAGTGCCTAAGGCACTTGACTGCTACCCAGAAGGCTGGCGGTTCAAACCCACCAGCCACTCCTCTGAAGGAAGGTGGGGCAATCTACTTCCATAGAGATACCACCTCAGAAACCCAAGGAGGGGTCGCTATGAGTTGAATCGACTCATCGGCAGTGAGTTTTTTTTTTTTCTTTTTGGTTCATTCTTTGCCCAGCAAGCCCGCAGATCTCCCTGAGGTCCAGTCTCTCCAGAGGATTCCTCATATTTTTTGCGAGAATATTGCCAAAGTGATGCCTAAATCGCAAACTCAAGTAGAAACAATTCAGTTCATGATGCAAAACAAGAAAAATCTGACACATGCCACACTGTCAGAGAGATTCCAGACAATTACCTAAAAGCTTAATACGGCCCAGCATTTTCATTAATCAGAAACGAGGTTTGCCTTAATTAAGTCACATATGCTCTACTTGAGAAGCCTGAAGCAATGACTGTTGTAGGGGATTACGAAGAAAACCATAATGGTAAAGCATAAACAGCAATAAAACAATTTTTTCAGCAAAAACAAGCAGCCATTCTATCCCTATGTCCACCAGAAGAAAGAGATGAAATTGTTACATAACCCAGCCCACGAAACAAAGTCAGCTGAATGAACAAAGTCAACTCTGGTCACAATTAGTAAGCTGTCAATGATGTGGGACAAGTCTGAACCTATGCCATTTTTAATTGGATCTAAAAAATGAATTTCTACCAAGGTTCTCAATAAATGTATAATCTTTACAAATGCTATTTCTCTGTTAAAAGACTTTCACTTAGAGGTTTGAGCTGTGTTTTCTTTTTTTCCTTCTCCATCTAAAGACACCCAGATGATTTAGCTAACTATACTTGGCATTTGTACTTTTGGGAAATAATTCTGATGAATACATTTTCTTGTTTTCATCCCGATATGTGGTATTATGCAGACTACATAGTGTTCCCAGTCTCCCAGGATAGATGTGATGAAACTAATTTCCATTCTTCTGCAGGTCCTTAACCCCTCCAGGCACTCAGCATTTAGTCTTAAGTGTATTGTAGTTATTCAAGTAAGAGCTTTTCTCTCCTACCAATACTAAATTCCTTGAGGGTTGTACCCTTTTTGTACACTAAGTTAGGTGGAGAAATTTGGAGATAAATATGTCAAATAATGTAGCTTCACTCAAGTAAGAGAGAAAAGGCAGAAGCCCCACACAAGGAGAAACCGTTCAGAAAGTTATAAACATTCCATCGATTGTTTCGACTCACAGCAACCCCCATTGGGTTTCCAAGGCTGCAAATCTTCACAGAAGCAGACTGCCTTATCTTTCTCCCATGGAGCAGCTGGTGGGCTTGAATCACTGACTCTTTGGTTAGCAGCCCAATGCCTTAACCACAGCGCCACAAGACATATATGAAATACTGTCAAAATTCCAGGAAAGAGCAATCACTTTTAACTCAGTAGTACATCAAGGAAAAGCTTAACTAATAAAATCTGTGCTTACCCTTGAAGAGTACTCAGCATTTGGTCGTATGGGACAGGGAACAAGGAAGGGACATTCCAAATAAAGGTGGAAAGTACACAGGATTGTCAGTGTGTAACGTAAAAAAAAAAACTAAACTCACTGCCATCAAGTCATTTTCTGACTCATAGTGACCCTTCCTTGGTTTTCTGAGGCAGTGTCATTACGGAAGTAGATTGCTCAATCTTTCTTCCGAGGAGTGGCCTCAGCCACCAGCCTTCTGGTTAGCAGTCAAATGCCTTAGGCACTATGCCACCACTTTCATTTAGCTGGAGTCCTTGGGTGGTCCAAATGGTTGATGTGCTTGGCTGGGCAGCTGCCACCCAGAGGCTCCTGGAATAAAGGACCAATGATGACTTGCAAAAACTCAGCCATTGAAAACCCCATGGGGCACAGTTGTACTGCAACACACATGGGGTCACCATGAGTCCAAGTTGACGACAGCTGGTCTTCTGGTTTATTTAGTCACAGCATACATTACCTGAAAGGGAAGAGCTGAGGTCTACGTCTGAAAAAAGGTAAGTTAGGTTCAGATAATGGAGAGTCTTTAACGTAAGTTTGGGGAAAAAAAAAAAAAAAAAAGAGGATTTCAACTGACATTGGAGATCTACCTACAGTTTTGAACAATGGAATAGCGCAGGAAAGCAGCATCCATTAGAACAACTGCTTCTAATGTTGCACAGAGACCAGATTGGAAAATAAAGAAAGTGAACAGAGTTGAAGTTATGGCTGTGGTCACTGATGTAAGGAAGAAAGGCTGTAAGAAACACTGTGGTCGTCAAATCTGTAGGACCTACCTGGCAATTAACTGAGTGTGGGAGACAACAAAAAGTTTGACTCTCAGAGTTGCAGGCCTGGGTGTTTAAGATGACAGTCCATTCGGGGAAGCAGAAAATGCAGTCTGTGGGTGAAGAGATACGGTGATCGGTTCAGTGTCATATGTGGCGTTTTACTATCTGTTTTGAACGTCCAGGTGCCATCAGGAAACATGGGGCCAGAGTCCAGGAGTGAGATTGAAGCTAGTGGGAATCCTGGGCAGAGAGGCACTGCTGTGTGTTGAATGAAGGTGGTGGGAGGAAAATTGCTATTCAGAGAAAAGGTCTTGACCAAGAATCCCAAGGAGTTGGATGACAGGATTCATGGAGAGATGAGGTGGAACGAAAGGAGGGGAAGGTGCCCTGCAGCAAAGTCAGGCCAGCCCTTGAATACCATTTTATAGATTGAGTTTCGATTCTTTAAAATGAAGATGGACATGACTTCACCTGCCATGTGTAGCAGCTCACCAGTGGTTATCAGAAGGAGGCAAGAGGTTGATCAGTACCCAGTCCAAACCAGGAGAATTAGCGTGTGTGTGTATACGTTTGTGTGTGTCTGTGAGTGTTCGTGTCTGTGTGTGTGTTGGTGTGTTTTAACGTCTGATGAAACTGGGTTTAGGTAGTTTACTTCCTTCCAGTATTTTCAAATTTTCATTCTCATTTTTCAAACTCGTTTGTTAGCATTTTAATTCCAATGAATGGGAACCTATCATTTACATAGACATCACACATCTGTGGTTCTTCTGGGATTTTTGTCCCAAAATTGGAACGAGAGGTGACCGCCATGTGGAGTACTGTTCACATTTTAGCTGTTATTCCATCCCAGAGAGTGTCTCATCACTCTTCACTTTCTTCCATTCCCCTCATCGCCCACGTACCGGGATGGCTTCCCCTAAGTCAGGCCGCCATTTTCACTACTCGCCGGTCAGTTAATTCACCTCAGGCAAGATTTTCCTCTGCCTTCACATGAATGCTCTTTAACGTCCTGCCTCCTTCTCTTCGCCTCTAACTCTTCTTCAGTTACTCAGGAGAATCTCACCAAGCCTCTGTGTTATATAACTGCGTGCCCCAAAACATTGAGACTAGCAACTCCTAGACTTCCCTAGGAACATTCTCTTAAGAAATGAACTTCAGAGAATTGATGCCTCCAGCCCTTCAAGACCATTGTTGTTGTTGTTGTTGTTGTTGTTGTGTGCTGTCAAGTCGGACCCGACTCATAGCGACCCCTCCTTGTGTTGCTGAGGCAGTATCACTACGGAAGTAGATTGGCCAGTCTTCGTTCCAAGGAGTGGCTGGTGGATTTGAAACACCAGCCTTCCGGTTAGCAGTCAGGTGCCTTAGGAAGAC